ATTACAGGTGTGAACAACCAGAGCCGGGCTTCTAGAGCAATAACATGAAATGCAGCTTAAGTGAGGCAGATTTTCTTTTGGTTAATTTCTAACATTGATGACTTCATGTATGTATTTTCCTTCTTTCCCTGTTTAGTTTTCCCTCCACACTTAGCATGAAGGAATGAGTATACTTCATATTTTAGTTATATACCAACATGACCTCTAAGTATTTTGTAAAGGTAGGGCTTCAGGGCTTCATTTCTTTCCCCACAACCCCCCCTTCCCCACTCACTTTGGGGTTATCGCCATTGTTCTTTACTTACATTGCCTCTGTGGGAAGACTTACGCTGTGAAATCACAGTAAGGGACCTATGAACTAGACTGGCAAGTCTACCTCTTGATAAAGAATTTGGAATACAATGTTAGAATATTAATCTTCAGAATAAGGTTGAAGTGCCTTCCTAAGGATTATCAAGTTGTATAAATTAGTACAACTTTCAAATTTCTTTCTGTCTTCCAGATTTTAGATACTCATTACATTCTCAAGTTTTATTCCACTGAAACAAAATGCCAAAGACACAAGTCCTGTTCATGATTCTAAGTTACTTTAGTGATGGGATAAGCTTCTCATTTTTTCACTGAACAGTTTTATTGCCTACCCCTCCATAACCATCACCTTACCTTTTCACCATACATAGTTTTCCATACATTAAAAACTAATATTTATTACATTTAACTCTTCCAATATGCTCAGTTGGGCCCAAGTCAGAAGAAATTTAAATTCCTAAGTAAACTTGTAAAAAGTAGGTGTACAGATCTTAACTGTGTAATGTATGCTAGCCTTTACACTTTACACTGGACATTTCTTGGTGGGTGAACATACAAAAGAGCAAGCTCTGGAGTACAGGATAGAAAGATGTAGCAGTGTGAAAGTACCCACTCTCCTGAAACACAACTCTGAGAGCTCCAATGTAATTGTTTAATCTCATCAATGAACAGGCATAGACCTCCTTCATGTATGCTGCCCAGTCTATTTTTCACACCTGCTGCACTGTTTAGAGCTGTTGAAATGCAGGAATTTGCATTAAAAATGTTTTCAACTACTCAAGTAGGGTATCTTCACAGGTAACCAGTTAAAGTTTTTGTGTAAGCCACTACATAGTGGAAAATTTTAAGTTAAGCCTCAAGGACTGTTTGCTATTGTCAGGACACCTCAAAATTGTGAAAGATGATGGCAAATTCAGCTGTAGTTTCTTTGACTTGAAAAACTAAGAAATCTTGTTTATATGTACACCAAGACAATTCAAAGGTTTAGGTTTAGTCTCATCTTACTTTCATGACAACATGATAACTATTAGTGAGGCCCTATTGTTGAGATGGTGTTGTGGGAACAGGTAGATAATACAGTAAAGCTAAAACAAAAATGTTAAGACTAAAAAGTATACTAAAGCTGGGCCCTGATGGCTTACACCTGTAATCCTAGCTACTTAAGAGGCTGAGATCTGAGGATCATGGTTCAAAGCTAGCCTGGGCAGGAAAGTCTATGGGACTCTTATCTCCAATTAACGATTCAGCAAAAGCCAGAAGTGGTGCTGTGGCTTGTGATAGAGAGCTAGTCTTGAGCACAGAGGCTCAGGGACAGAGCCCAGGACTTGAGTTCAAGCCTCAAGATCTCTGCCCACCCCCCCCCCCAAAAAAAAAAGTATACTGAAAATAACATGGGAAGGAGGGAACAGAGCTGGATGCACATGGTTCAACATGTTCTCATGTAAACCACCCAACTGATTATATGCTAAGGGAATAAGCTAGGACTGTGTGCCACCATACATCTCTTGTGACTTAAAGATGTTTGCTTCAGTGAAAGTAACTTCTATCCTAATTCTACTGTACTAAAGTTATTGCATTTAAGTCTTTATTATCTTCTAAGTACAAAGTATAGGAAGTTGGGAGAAGGAAAGTAGAGAGCAGCTGCACTGCATTAAAAAAAAAATCAGGTGATTCACTAAATGTCATTCTTCTAGTAAGTTAATGGGGCTGAGACTGGAATGTGGAACTGATTCCAGAAACCATGTTTGGCCCAGGCAAAAAGTTGGAACACTCTTATCTCAAAAAACAGCCTGGGTGTGGTAGTGACATCTAGGATCCCAAGATACTAGGGAGGCCAAGGTAGGATTATGCTCTAAGGCAGACTCAGGCAAAAAGTAAGACCTTATCTAAAAAACAACCAAAAGTGGATCAGATTGTGGCTCAAGCACAGGCCCCCAGTATTTTTTTTTAAGTCAATTACAGTCTCTTATAATTTCCCACATTTCCCAGGGAGTAACAATTGTTTCTGATTCACATTAACTTAACAAGACATGTTAGAGTCTTAGGATTTATGTTGCCAATCAATAAATTTTATTAATAATCCCTTGTAAAGATACTGAGAAGCTGAAATTCATTGACTAATTAATGCCAATACATACATATGCCTGTTAAGGATTTTTCTATCAGCAAACATCCCATTCAAATTTCCATGGATGTCTTGAGTACATTCAGAAAACAAAATCCCAATCACTGTTCACAATGAATACTAGAGGAAGTTTTTCTAACCAAATAAAGCTGCTTGAAAAACGCACCTTAAAAACAAGAATGCACTTATTACTTAAGAACACACTTAAACAACAGGCAAATCAAATTGGACTACTAAATGGAAGGACATTAAATGAGGCTTTCTCTTAGAAATAAACCCGAACAGCCCTCAGGATCTAGTTTTGAGATTAATGGGTCCCCTCTATAATAGAATTGCTGTTTATATATTGCTTCAATATATACACCTATCTAAAAACATCAGATAGGAAACATGATGGTAAATTAGAGAACAAAAAAAAAAAAGGAGGCAGAGACAAAACCTGGCTGGGTCAAAATCAACAGGAGTAAAAATAAAATGAATACAAGGCATGGAAGCCAAATCACTGAGCATTTCAGTCCCATACACAAGATCATCTTGTAAGGATATATGCTGTAGCAAACTTCTTACAAGCCACCCAGCCTTATTAAGCTGGCCACAAACTAACCACTGATTTCAGACAGACATCTTAATTTTCACTCAACCTATCAGTACCAAAAATTAGTACCCTGGGAGAACAGATACGATGTGCTGCATTTCCAGTGTTTAAATCTGCCTAGTCTATCTTAAATAAATGGGCACATGAGACAAGTTCAGTTCAAGTTTTCTGAGTGTGGGATTTGCTTTACCTATGTTCTATTGCTTCTACAGAAAGGCTGAGGGAGCAACAGCTCAATAAAGAAAAATACCAAATCAAGTATTCTTCACCTTGTTTCATTTTTCCTTAACAAAAGAATTCCTAAAAAGCACAGCAGTAGGAAAATTGTGTGATGATTTAAGAAGGAAAATTGTGTGATGATTTAAGAACAACTAATGTTAAGGCTAAAGCAGGATTAAGAGTTGAATGGTTAGACTGGGCTATGTAATCAGTCTCAAACCAGTGTTGGTAGGTCATGCCTGGTTACTTGGGAGGCAGAGATCAGGAAGATGACAATTTCAGGGGTTGAGGCCACCATGGGGAAAACAAAAGAAGTCCCAGGCAAAAACACAAGATCCTATCTAAAGAATGAAATGAGTGAAAGCACCTGTCTAGCAAGGTTTGGGTTCAAACTCCAATACCATTTAAAAAAAAAAACAACAAAAAACCAAACCCTCCCTAAACCAAAAATCAACCAAAATCTCAGAATTGTCCTTTTTTCTTTTTAAATAGATGTTACTATTTCCTAAGAAAGGTTCCCCGTTCAAAAAAAGGCAAAAGCCTAAAATCTCTACTCATTGTGTACTACATATGCATATTTAATCAGTGGTTTATTTCTAAGGTTGGATAAGAATAAGTCAGCAATTTAAAGTCTCAGATACAAAAGAAAATGTGCTTACAATGTTTTAAGGCAAGGTATTTGGTAAGTAACAAAAACATTCTAAACTGGTCTCTGAAGTAGAACACGACTAGTCATTTCTTCAATTCAAAGAGGATAGGCCAAAAGATAAATAAGAATTCTCATATAATAATAATCTATTGGTACAAGTATCAGCATTTTATCATGATATTCAAGAAACTGCACATCATGGTAGATTAGAAAAACAAAACTAGGCACTCACACAGTGAGACCAACAGAGGAGACTCTTGGGGGAGGAACACAAAGTTGTAATGCCTATGTGCCTCTGATCATACAAAATATTTATAAAAACGAATTCCAGGAAATGGAAAAAAAATCCAAAAACGGAATAACCTGAAAACACAGCGAGGCCAGGATGCACATGAACTGCTTTGTGTGACGCTAGGACAGATACCAGTACTTGCAAACAGGTAACTAACTCTTGCAAGGCAAAGGATATGGCCACCAATCTTTTAAAGCAGTCCTTTGAGAATTTCTTTAAACAAACATCTGATAGCTTTGGTTCTGAAAATATCATACATTAAAGCAGGTAAGGCAAATATTTAGAGGAAATAGCTAAGTATTGGAAAATTAGATGAAAGAGGTAGAAGTGAGGCCTTTGTTTGCTATGTGCTTCTGCATAAGAAGGTTAACAAATATATGGTATAAGGGAAAACACAACTTAAAAATGAATCACTCTTTTATAGGATGTTTTAAAGATAATGTTTTTTAATAGTTCAAATATTAAAAAAAACTCATCAAAAATGTTACCACCTTAACAGTACTTTGCACATGTGGAATTCCATACCTAAATTTGATACTATTTTGGTTTATTTATGGCTACTTACAAGACTCACAGTAATAATGTCCATTCATCTGAGTCTTTTTCTTTGGTAGAGTCTAATGGGACCAGGCAGATGAACTATTTTATGCAAATAAGATGGTTAAAATGAATTCATGGTGATATGAATTAGGAGGGTTTTTCTTTATGAAAATGAAACTTCAAAAGGATTCTGCATTTATCCCCACTGTGGTTTTGGAAGCTTAATATCCTGTTCAGAGGTTAAAGAGTTTGAATAGCTCACACAATCCTGTGAAAATCACAACTGGCTGCCCTTTAATAAATAGTCATTGTAAAGAATTACATTTACAGAGTGAAAAGTGAATACATAGCATTTCAAATTCAGTTTTGGAAGTACTAGTAAGTACTGACCATAACAATATACACTAGCTATCTTTTTTTTAACTGTCCATCATTAGCACCAATAAAGATTCAACAAGATTACCTTTATTCCCACATCTCAAAACAATTCTGCAAGTTCTTAGTGAAGTTTAACTATAGTCACAGACCTTAAATATTCACATTGTTTTCTATGTCATACTGAAAATAATTTCACTACTTTTATGGATATTCTTTACAAAATCTTATTAAATTTCCTGGTATTACCCCCTCCCCCCCATTATACAGTAGCACAACCACCCTATGTCGTTTTACATGATAGCTCTGCGGAGGTTTCACATCTAAATCACCAAGAACAAAACCCTTCCCTCCCTCATCTTGCACTCAGCTTAATTCTATACTAGTCCTTGGATTATGTACCATGGTAAAAGTATAACTGTATCAAAATTACCATGTTTATGGATACAATATTATGCTACACAGAGCAACCAAGTTACATATAATGACAAAGATTACTAATGTTATGCAAGACAAGAACAAATGTGAGGACATCTACCTAGGCAAAATCCCTATAAAGAGGCTCCTAGTATGTCAAGTTCAAATAACATTGACAAAATAATGAACAATTATCTTAAAAAATTATAAAGCTACTAGCAACTTAACTGCTAAATAAAAGTAGATCACAAGTTCAAACCTCTAATATTTACAACCACAATATACTTGAGTAAAATTACAATTGTGCACATACCAGTGGCTTTGTAACAAAATAGCTCATATACACAGAGGAAAAATTAGTCTTCAGTTCAACCAATGTTGAATCTAACCCATCTTATAGATACTCAACAGCTTGAAGATTTACCACAGAAAAAAATCAATATTAACTGATAAACAAGAGCCATACTATTGGCATTTAAACCAAAATTTACACAAGTTAAAGCCTATTGTTGGATCAGGAGTCAGATGACCGTGCAAACTTTACCTCAACAGGAATATACTGAGATGTGCAAACAAATGTATAACCCTCCACTAGTGGTTTGCCTGGAGGCTGGCTTCTTTAAAAACAAAGACAAAAACATAGCTTCCTGATAACAACCATAAGCTATAAATACAGGTACAATGCACAGTCAGTGATCTTTTATTTTTATTTATTAGAATATAAAAGAATTGAGAGCATAGGTTTATTTTCATTTTTTATAAGGAAGACTGTATTTACCTGAAAAAGAAATATGGCATCACAATGCAAACACACCTCAGGGGAGGAGTATATTAAAAAATATAGTGTTATTGTGAATGCTAAAGGAAGCAACCTCAGCTTACTGTTATATGTAGTGTTTAAGTTCTTTAAAGAAAAAACTAATTCTTCACTATGTATGCTTTTGCAAATTTAGTTTTTAAATCACAGTAATCCACATAACCATCATTAACAGTTGTTTTATGGTACTGTAACAGGCCAACAACATTTAAATGCACTTCACATCAAGAGTATGTAAACTTTATTTTTTTCCTTTTCAAGCCTTCAGAAAATTAGGGGCTATTTTATTAGCCAATCTGGCCAGAAACTCTGAAGGCAGAATTCGAGTGCCACTTGAGGCACTATATATACCCATCTGGTAGTGAAGTGTCCCCCCTTCAGTGGCTTCCAGTAAGGCCTAGAGTTTAAGGTTAACATGAAAAAGTGCCACCTTTTAGATTAGTGATGGACTCTGACAAGAGAAAATAAAGTTATTCTGTATATTGTTATACTTACAAGCAGCTCCAATCCTGAGTATTTATGGTAATATCTAAACATACAAAAATGTATGTACATTTTTCTCCACTTTCTTGTAAACAGTTGTCAGTATGCTGTTTTATCCCTTTATCATTGAAACATGCAAATCATACATACACATATAAATACACAAAAGAAAACAATTTACACTCATTCAAAAGCCAAGCAACAACAAAAAAGCTACAGTATTCAAATTATAAATAATGAATGCTTGACACATCTTATATTCCTAGAAGCATTGCCAGCCATTCATCCTAATGTTCTCAGCTGCAATTGTAGAAATACTGAGTTTTGCACCTTCCATGCTTTTACAGTATTTATAACACTATCATATGTGGAGATAAAGACTTGTTTACTATAATCTCTTCTTTTCAGAATGACGAGTAAAGCAGCACTTACAAATATTGAAGCAGTGGTAGCAAAAGCATGTGTTACCACTGCTAGATCAGGAGGAAGTTTTCATCCTAACAATTTTTAAATTAAAAAAGGTAAAGGAAAAATTGACCTAAACAAATGATTACATATTCATTCCTTGGGCACTTAACAGCGAGTCCAGCATGTCGAATGTGTCTTTGTAGTCCATATGCTGGCTGTTTGTACTGTACTCGTGATTGGCATCAGGACCGTTGGTCTCCACTGGTTTCTTGTCCAGTTTCACGAGGGTGCTGAGATGTCCGTAGCCCACCTGGTATGTGACAGGGGGAGGAGGGGGTAAGGGATGGTTAAAAACAGAGTTGTGAGAGGATATATACTGCTTAACAGAGGAGGAAGAACTAGATGAACTACCTGAACTTTTGGAACTTTTGCTCATTTTGGAGTGATGGTTGTAAGAGGCATCATTGATATGCAGCTTCTTTCTTGAAGAACTGGAACTAGAGGAAATGCCATCACTGCTCAGGCCAACCGGACTCCTCAAAACAGTAGGTGGTATTCCATCAGCACTGTGTTTACTGCCACTGCTGCTGCCAACATGCAAATGGGAATGCTTGTGGCCACTGGCATGGTGGCGATTTGTAGGATGTTCTTTGTGCTTCTCCTTATGGTCTCTGCTAATATGCGGGCTTGAATGCTTGCTCTTCCCACTGCCTTCATCAGAAGAGCTGTGTCTTTCTGAGGATGAAACTTTAATCTTCATTTTCAGTTCCTCTTTACTGGTGCCTTTATCAGTGGGTGGTATTGGAATTCTTAATTTCAGTGATCCACTCTTTTCCTTTTTCTCTGCCATGTATTTTTCAGTCTTTTCAGTATTTGTGATGGGAATTTTCATTTTAATGGGAGAAGTTACAGAGCTGCTGCTGGCTGCCTGTGACTGCATGTGTTTGTGTTGCTGTTCTACCTGGGCAGCTATATAATGATCCCTTACATCGAGATCAAGAGTTTCTAGCTTACGCTTTTCTCTGTATTTATCTAAAGACATTTTATGAGGAATTACTCCAGGAGTAGCAGGAATAGGCCCATGGTGTTTACTGCTCCCTGCTTTATGAGTATATTCTTGTTTAACAGAAGAATGATCAGATATTTTGTCAGGTCTGTGATGTAACCCTGAATGCAGTGACATAGAAGGTACCTGCTGGAAGTTGATGTTGTATTGGCTACTAGACAAAGATGCTTCCTGTTTCTGTGAATATATCGGCTCTGTCCTTGATGATTCTTGGTGCTGAGGCCATTCTTGGTGAGATGACAAACCATATGAGGTGCTGGGCATTCCCGTTGCCAGCACTGACAAATTATCAGATGTACGGCTGTCCTGAACAGAAACATTTCCTGAGTTTAGAGGTACCGGTGGAGGAAATGTTGATGTAGAAGGTTTCTGAAAACTTGGGTTTGCAGGCACACCAGTGACACTATCTACTAAAATGGAATTCTGGACCAAAGACGAACCAAGAAGTGGTGTCTCTGATACTTGTCCATCTACTTTTGGTTTCTGAGCCGCCTGAGTAGCCTATTTAAATAAAACACAAAAGAAACAATGACAGCAAAGAGATTTAATACAGTCTGTTAATAAAAATTCCATATTAACTATATGGAAATAAAAATCACCTGGTTTCAGGCTTTTACGTTGTCAGTAAATGTCAATAGAGGCATAATAGAAGGCTCTAAATCGAAAATTCAGTTTTTGAGTTAAGATTCAGTTAACCCATACCCAGCATTTGAGAGAGTAATTTGTCAGCTCCCTCATTTGTAAAACAAAGACAACACTTCCACCAGTCACTGTAAGAATTAAATATAAAACGCATAATGCAATGTATAGTCCACTGAAAACAATAGCTGAATAAATTGAATATATATAGTTTATGGTATACTGCAGTTATCTGGGAATACTGGAAAGCAGATTATTTAATCACATAAAACTGGTTTGCTATACAATTGCTAAATGACATATTGATATTCTGTTAAATCCTGCCAATTCTCTTACCCTCCAGTTTCGAATCCTCTTCAACCTACTAGGCGTTTTCTCCAATATTTGTAGAAACTCATGTGTTAGCTCTAAAAATAAAATTTAAATTTAAAACTTAGAATTGAGAAACTTAGAAGTGCCTTTAGGATTTAAATTTCTCTCAAGTGGGCACTATTAAGAAAGGGGACCTTAAAAGTCTATCTCCTTAATTATTAACCTTCTATTTAACCATTATCATATACAGAAGTAGACAGAACTGGTATTTGAAAAGCTGAGTCCTTTTATAAAAATAATCTCCACTCTGATTTTATTTGCTTACTTAGAATCTCTGGAAGACTCGGTAGCACTAAAAACAGCCCCTCTAAAATAACAGTCTTTATTATATAAGGAGTAATAGTAGTGTTGGATGAGAGAAAGATCCATTAATGGATTCTTCAAAATTAGTGTACAAAAGATTGAGGAAAAAGGATACTTCTATCTCAATAAATTTTCACTAAGGTAAGTTACTAATTACAAAGAGAGAGTACTTGTAACTTGTACAGGGCAAAAACTCGGCAATCCCACTGTAACGAGCTGATTATCACTAGTGAAGACATATTAGCATGATGTACCCTTGCAATCATGGTAGGATCTACTCATGAGAAAATATCCAACAAACTCCAACGGGGAAAGGCTGTCAAATGTAAATGTCCTTCCAATCACTTCATGGTGAGATCATAATAGAAAAATATCATAATATAAAAATACCACAGACCAGAAGAGACTAAAGATAAATCTGATTTAATTGATAGTTTTTTATCAGTATTAGTTTTGTTTTTAATAATTATACATTGTTATGTAAGATATTAACAATATCAACTGGGTAAAGGGCAAATAGGAATTAAAAAGTTCTTATACCAACACTCATACTTTCTAGCAATCAATACTATTATCATAGTAGCAAGTTACCATGGTCAATTTTCTAAGTTCAGGATTACAATCATCACTGACCTTCCATATGGTTATATGTTTTCTAGTCTAAAATAGTATCAGCAGGGCTGGGAAGGTGGCTCAGTGGTAGAGCGCTTGCCCTGCATGCCTGAGGCCCTGGGTTCGATTCCTCAGCACCACATAAGCAAAAAGAAAAAAGCCGGAAGTGGCACCGTGGCTCAAGAGGAAGAGCGCTAGCCTTGAGCTGAAGAGCTGAGGGACAGCGCCCAGGCCCAGAGTTCAGGCCCCACGACCGGACCCCCCCCCCCAAAAAAATAAAATAGTATCAGTAGTTACTAATACTCTAAAGACAAATATTAGCTGAGTTAGAATATCCTTTGTGGCATGTCTATCATAACACCAGGAAGGATCTCTGTCAATAAACAAGATTCACTTCCTGTTTTTTAGTACAATAGTGAGTTTTTCTGCACACTATTTTATACAAATGCGGACTGATAAGACATTATTGAACGTTTTCAAAAAAGCACATAACAAAAACTCCATACCTCTACACAACTACCTAAAAGTTGTCACAAGTATAACTATCCAAAACTAGCTTGTCAAACAGGTGTGCTAACAACCATCTCATGAACCAAAATCTTAATTTTACAAGATGTGTGACTTCCTTGACAATTTAATGAGTACTGTAGTCTGAGATTTTTGACAAAGTTTGGATGAAATAAAATGAATGCCTTGAGCTCTACTTCCTCAGTTGAAAAAGAATAATTTTCTGCCTGGCACTAGTAAATACAGCAAACCATAGATACATTAAGTCAATTATATACACTGAAGTCACAGAATTCATGTTCAATTGCTTTTTAAATAAAAAAATAAGCTTGAGCCTTTTCAGCAATGGTAGTGGGATATTTAGGTTCTTATGTCACACACAAAAAAACACCAAACCAAAATGAAAACAAATCCAAAACTTTAACCTAAAAGCAGGAAAAAAGGCAACCTAGTTTTTGTTGTATTTTATTTCCATATTATGCATATACATTTTTTTTAAGCTCAATATCTTAACTCTTCTCTTTCTCTCTCTCTCTGCCAGTCTGGGGCTTGAACTCAGGACCTGGGCACTGTCCCTGAGCTTCTTTTGCTCAAGGTTAGCATTCTACCACTTGAGCCACAGCACAACTTCTGTTTATGTGGTACTGAGGAATCGAACCCAAGGCTTCATGCATGCTAGGCCAACACTCTACCAACTAAGCCACATGGATGTCATTTCAACCCACTGAAATTAAATTTCCTTTGGATAAACTGTAAAAACCTGACAATCTAATGTAGCAGTAATGTGTTCTAGGAGAAAATTTTCAAGAAGGAAAAAAGAAAAGAAAGAAAGTTAATAAAAAAATATTTTATAACATGTGTAGGCAACCTATGACCAACAGTTAACCAAATATGGCTTGCCACCTGTTTGTTGGTTTTGGGGCTTGAACTCAGGCTCTTCTGCTCAAGGCTATCACTCTACCATTTTGAGCCACAGAGTTACAGCATCCCAAGGGGAATTTTCAGCCCAGGCTGGCTTTGAACTGTGATCCTTAGATATCAGTCTCCTGAATAGCTAGGGTTACAGGCAGGAGCCACCAGCCCTCACTTGCTACCTGTTTTTAGAAACTATGTTACACTGGAACACTGCTCCATTGTTTATTTACAAAGCACTTGTGGCTGCTTTTCAGCTAAAACAGTAGTTTTAGTTTTAACAGAAACCTTATGGCCCACAAACTCTTTAAAAAGCTACTCCAGTCTCTAACTTCATACCAGAATTGACAACTATTCAGGTGAGTAAAGCACATGTAAGATTTTTCCATTATACAAAGTTTAATGTAAGGAAGGACCTCTTTTCTCTACTTACCATCTAGTAATTCAAGAGTAACTGTGGGATCCACATATTCCCACCAATGCTTTCCATCAGTTGATACAGGAATCTCCCAATTGGACCATTTGCAAGCCAAATGAATGCATACACATGCTATCACTGTTGGTTTGTACTGAAGACAGAAGGTGGTAAGATGCAGACTGTTGTAGAGCAGGTTTGAAAATGATGAGCCATAGAAATTCAAATATGTAAAACAAAGAAAAACATTTACCAGTTAAGATTAAAGCAAAAACAAGATTATAGAAATTTTCTTCAAGTTTAGAATATTTAACCTTATTTTAACAAATTAAACCAGCAATAAAAATTTAAAAAAATCCTAGATTAAATATCTCTCACCCACTACCCACAATACATATTTTATTAATATGACTATTTAAAAAATCCTGCTTTTTTATATTTTAAGGTACTAGATAAAAGAGGAAGACAGTATACTTATAATAATCATTACATACAAAATAACATTATAAACTTGTATTTTTATGTCATAGCAAAAATGTAAAATAAAAAAGACTGTAAAACAAACTGCAATCTCAATGTCACATTATGATCCAGGATCATACCAGACCTAATGGTTAACCAATCAGAGACTTTACCATTCCTATGTAAATCAGTGTTCTTGGCAGCAAGAGCATAAAAAGAACTTACCTTTAGCCAAACACCAGGGCTAAAAGTGGGTAAATACTACAAAAATAGTACCTTTTACTCTTACTATTTCAAAAAATCATGTATACATCATGCCATATGCTAGCTTTCTAACCAAAGTTTTAAAATTCTTTTCCCCCTCAGAATACCTAATGATAGAAGCTAAATCCCAGCAAATGTGCTGTATTTGCCAATCCAAAATTTTAAATGAAAGTTGTCAGTGACACATAAATTAAGGACCATATAAAACTCAGTTTGGTCTTCTTCTCCTAATGGGCCCACTTAAAAATTTAAATCTCTAAGAATTATATGAGACATTAAACATTCCTTAAAACTATTCTTTTAATTCAGTTTCAGAAATGATCAAATGTTTACTGAATAGTCACAAACACATTTTTTGCTTTACATAAACTGAAAGAAGTAAGGTTTTTTTAAAAGTAAAAAACTATTTATACAACTGACTGATAGGACTTTTTTTCTGCTTGTGAGTATTATCTGGAAAAATAAAAACCCTAAATTATGTAAGTTTTATTTATTTAAAAAACTTTAACGTATATTTTAAAGTTAAGATTGGATCAATGTGAAATTTTTAAAAAACTGTCATTTAACTATAATTGTAAACTAGAAATAGCTTTATACTTACCAAGTTGCTCGAATTTCTACGTTAAGTTTAGCTCTTTGTAATCTTTAGCTGCTATTCAGGCTACCAATTTTAGACTTATGCACTCACAAATCGAGAATATGTCATCAGAAAGCACCACTACACTTCACATTGTGCATTTAACCCCTCTGTGCCCAAAGTCCCTTGTACAATACACCGCAAAGCAAACAGGAAGGTACCACCACAGTAGATGGTCCAGTCTCCTGTTGCAACAAGGGTAAGAGACACATTGAGGGGACCCTGCATTAAAGGAAGCTATAGTGTGCTACAACAGTGCAACAAAGAGGGTCAGGATAACAACCTGTTGGTAGCCATGAAATAGGATGTCTGTGCCAAATCCTTGCTTGCTGTAAGAAAAGGAAAAAAAAAAAAAAGGAAGACAAGACTATGAGCTCAAACATGTTATTATCAAAAAGTTCTCAACGCAACAAAACTTCAAAGATTTGTACACAAAAAGTAAATTTTACTTACTACTTACAAATATCACAAGAGCGCCATCATTTTCTATACTACTGAAAATCTTCAACAACATTCACTCAAATGTTTCTTGCTATCCCCCAAAGATCTGAGAAACAAGCCGATTTGCTTTTAGCTAGCCAGTTACAAGGGCTAAACTTGTTACTAAGTTAAGCATCTAGTCAGCTAAAAGTTGAAATAAAGCATTCTCCTGGATTAAAAAAAAAGAAAAAAGAAAAAAAAACAGAAAAAGGAGAACAAGAAAAGATTTTTGAAGTCTAATACAAAACATGAAGAGTTGCCTGCCAGACTTAATTAATCCTGTCTTAAATATTTCCATCAGAATGAAACAAAACAACCCAATTCCCCAAACTGACCAGTTCTTCATTATGCTATTAAGTTCAACAGGACAACCTAGAAACATACTTAAGGTGTAGTATAGGAAGCTCACTCTTTTTTTTTTCATTTATAGATTCCAGTTAAAGACATATGTAGAAAAAAATACAAGTATTCTCAGAGAAATTAGAATGCTTCAAAACCATTCCCAACAGAAAAGTAGTATTTAACAAGCTTATGATATTGAAAACAATTTTCCCACCCATTCTCCTGCCTGGTATTCTTCTAACAGAAATGCCCTTGCTATACTGTCTCCCTTCCCTCCCATATTCATAATCACTGTTTTCCAAGGATCTGTTCTCCTAGGATCAGTTCACCTCAGCTCCACCCATCCCTCTAATACCAGGCCTCAAATTCCTTTCCCATCCTATTTTTTATTCATGGCACCTGTAATCCCTGATGCCCCATGTGGATCATCAACATAAGGGTTTTACAAAAGGGATTTGGGTTTGGCAGAGTTGTGCTAAGGAAGAGTGTCAAAGCATCAGATGTCTTGGAGGCAGTATGACTTAAGTATTGCATTCTTTCCTGGTGGAGAGGGGAGGAGAAATCACAGAAGTGAAAGGTCCCTGGTAAAAATGACAAGCCAATTCTGTAGCAAAGTAGTGTAGTATCAACTGTCTCATCTCAGGGGAAGGGAGGAGGACTTTACAGATAACAATTTACCCCTCCTTGAAAAAAAGCATAGATACATATACAAAAAGGAAAAAAAATTTAATTGCTACGTCATATTTTCACCTAAGAAATGTATCTAATTTCAATAATCTATGAACAACAAAGAAATGGAGGGGAAATGTTTTTTTTGTTAGCTGAAAATTTGTAACAGAGTATAGAAAAAGATATCAAACACGAAAAGAACTGTTTTGAAAAGGAGAGGTACCTGATAAGTACCTCATGAAATAAACATACCCATGGTTTGTACGTAAATCAGTTTTAAATGTTTTTGTTTTGGATGTTGTATCAAATTTGCAGTTTATGTGAATGATTTAAAAATTCAACTATTTTCAACTAAGGTAATTAATGTAATTAAAAATACACTAATATTTTCCTTTAATATCTTTATTAGATTTTCATCTTAAGAGTGAATTACATGACCTTCTATTATTCTTGCAAAAGCTTGGCTTTTACTTTTAAGTCTTTAGGAAAACAAAACTAAGCCATTTTTCTGATTTCAACATCTACTACTAATTACTATATAAGCCTATAATATTAGGGATGAGAATATGCTACAAAATATATTCATATAATAGTCATGAATAACAAGAATCATAAAATATACTCTAGCTTGATATAAAATTAATTTAGAATGAGTAAAACGAGAATATTTAGATAAACACTTACAACACAAGATCATCAGAAATCTTAGCCATCGAATCTTAAAAACCCTGGTGATAGTGGTAGTATAAAAAAAAACTCTAAAATTTTTATTTTTTAAAAGGAAAGGCACACTAAGTGTCGCACGGGAGTGCTATGAATACATAAACAACTCAATTGGAAACAGGTAAGCAGAAGTAAAAAGCAGCCCCATATACAGCCATGTGAGAAGTATTTTTATCATTGTGACAGGTACACAGAATAGTTTAAAAAAAGTATTATATTTTACATGCCATAAAGCAAAATAGCATGAAAATACATATTCCTATTTATAAAAGGTATTAACAGGCACCTCAATATGTATATCAGTTTAAAAATTTCCATTATACTTAAAAAGGAAAATCTTCAGCATTCTGAATAATGCCAAAAAAATTTATTAAATGTTTCATTTAAATAAAAATGGGAAAACTATTTCCCCAAATGACCTATCTACTAACACAAAGTTTTACCTGAAAGGTATGAGGTTGGCTCAAATTCATTACTTTCTGCATCTATGCACTAATGGCTTAAATCTTAAATATTAACTGAACCATTCTTGGGATAGCCTAACAGGAGTATTGAGATATCCTCTAGTTATTTAGTAAGCAGATGCCCATCTAGATTGAATGGAAGCCAGTGCACAAATAGAGTAAACAAATAGGTAAACATAGAACACTAAAAACAAAAATTAATTTCAAACTAACATTTACCGCATTTTCAAAAACCCAATAAAAAAGACCCGAAAACTAAAATAACATCCAAACCAATTACAGACCACAAAAAAAAAAAAAGAGCATTAATAGTTGTCTTTAAAAAGTTACAAAAATCACTTACCTCTTACTAACTGGGTACATTTCACTACATCTGTGTGTGGGTGTTCAATGGTGATTTCAAAACCTGAAACGATAAGCATTTTCCCTCCAACTACTTACTACTACTATAATTGCCTGTGAAATACCATTTGCAACACAATTGTAATTATGTAATATAGCCTTCACTATTAGTTTCGAACACGGGCATGTTCATTACATGTAAGAATGTGAATTTCTTCTCAAGTACAGTGTCTCAATGAAGGGAACTGAAAGTGTGGCTCAAGAGGAAGAGCTCCAGGCTTGAGCAAAAATGCCAAGTAAGAGGGAGAAGCCCTGAGTTCAAGCCCCAGTATTGGTACAATAACAAACAAACAAAAAATGTCTCAATGAAGGAAATAGACAAAATTATTAAAGATCAAGGAAAATTTTATTCAAAATTTACAATCAATTTGTGACTGTCCTCAAGTCAAAAACACATCAAAACAATGGCAAATAGTAACATTAACAATCAAAGTATTAAGCTGGTCCCCATAGTTTAAGCAGGAAATATAATTTTCTTAATATCCAAGTTTTTTTCCAGAAGATATAAAAATTACCTCTTTTATAACATAATTGTTGGGTTACAGTAACAGAAATAAACTTTAAATGAGATTAAATGTAGTTTTACACTACATGTAAGAACAAAGGGTTTTAGCCGAGCACCGGTGGCTCATGCCTGTAACCCCAGCTACTTTGGAGGCTGAGAGCTGAGGATGGTAGTTCAATGCCAGTCTGGGTAGAAAAGTCCCAGTGAGACTCTTATCTCCAATTAATTACTCAAAAACTGGAAGTGTTGCTGTGGCTCAAAGTGAAAGAGCACTAGCTTTGAGCAAAAGAGCTCAGGGGCAGTGCTCAGGCCTTGACAAAACAAAGAAAGGGTTTTAACCAGTTAGCTTTCAAGTATATTTTATTAACAACTAAAATTACATGGCAAGCACATCATATAGGTATTACAATTCTTAAAATTACTGTTTGTAAAACCAAAGATAAATGGTTTGAAAAGCTTTCACTATCCAATTAACCCTTAGGTATGGCAAGCATGGTCTTTTCTTTCTAAGGGAGGTTACATCTAGTGCTTCCAGAAGCAGTAAATGAAAGTACCAAATAATCTGGATTTATGAAGCAGCTGTATGCTTTAATTATGTTTTGCTTGTATTTGAGCATATAAAACAATTCTTCAAATAAATTCTAATGTTTTTAAAATGTTCATTTTCTGTGCTTAAGAATGTATTACATATTATGTTATGTAATGACTTTTTTGTAATATTACTGGGATGGACTGATCACAGGCTCATATTCTTTGCATACTCTACTACTAAACTACACCCCTATATAACACCTGCATATAATAAAATTAATATTTTATAATGCAATGTTTTATACTTAAAAAATCTTATTATAAAATGTTTGTAACTTTATTCATAAAGGCATATAACTTTATGAGACAACTACATACTAAGTTGGCTCCTTTGGATCTTGTTCTTCTGGCTAACTAGGATTAAATGTGTGAGCTAAGTGGCAAGCCACTTTTATTATCTTTCAAAATCTTTTTTTGGTGTGGGTCCTGAGGTTTGAACTCAGAGCCCAAGGCCTGTCCCTGAGCTTTTTTGCTCAGTGCCAGCACTCTACCATTTGAGCTACAGCTTCACTTCTGGCTTTTCAGTAGTTAACTGCAGATAAAGCGTCTTATGGACTTTCCTGCCTATGTTGGCTTAGAAACCTGATCCCCACATCTCAGCTTCTGGAAGTTAGGATTATAGATGTGAGCCACTCACTAAATCTTTTTTGTTATATGCATTTCAAACAAGCTACCTTAGAATAAAAAGAATCTATCATGACGGGCACTTGTACTTACAATATTTCTACTCAACATTTGGGAATAGAATATTAAAACAAACTTTCCTCAAGTTTCTAAAACATGTCAGAGCCTACATATTTAAACTTAAATCTCTGAACCGGGTGCTGGTGGCTCACGCCTGTAATCCTAGCTACTCAGGAGGCTGAGATCTGAGGATCTCGGTTCAAAGCCAGCCCAGGTAGGAAAGACCATGAGACTCCTATCTCCAATAAGCCACCAGAAAACTGAAAGAGGCGCTGTAGCTCAAGTGGTAGAGTGCTCACCTTGAGCTGAAGAGCTGAGGGACAGTGCCCAGGCCCAGAGTTCAAGGCCCACGACTGACCAAAAAGAAAAAAAAATTTTAAAAATAAAAAAAACCCACCTTAAATCTCTGTAATGATCATATTTATCTAGGATCTTCTGTAATATGTGACTTTGAGAAGGCATAATGTTCTTAGGATGAATTTCCACATTAGTAAAGTGAGAGTAAAGTCAGAATAAATGAATCTTGCATAGAAAGAAGTAACATGTAGAAAACAATAATTACTCAAATAATTACAACTTCATTAAGAGTGGCAAGGACTAGCTAGGTAGGTGCTGGTGGCTCATACCTGTCATCTTAGCTCCTCAGGAGGCTGAGATCTAGGGATTGTGTTTCAAAGTCAGTCAGGGTAGGAAAATTAGTGAGACCCTTAATTCTAATTAGCAACTGAAAAGCTGAAACCAGACCTGTGGCTCAAGTGGTAGAGTACCTGCCTTGAGTGAAGAAGCTAAGGGACAGTGCCAGGCCAGAAGTTCAAGCTCCTGTCCTGGCATGATTGCAACATACATATCCCAGAAAAGTGAATGATGTCTGAATACAGATCCAGTATATGTTAACTGCCCCTCACAGACCATTTGACCCTATAATGAAAACCTACACTGCTTCAACTATCTGAAAACCCAAAGAAATCATTGAGGTTATTTACTATCAAATTAAATTATGCCAAATAAAATTCAATTTCTGAAAAATGGTTTCCTTTAACAAGTTAACACTAGTGTGGTCGAAAACCTGTCTTAAAATTACTTGACTTAATAATAAAATTATCCTAGGAATATTTTGATATAGAATATTAAAGAACATACCTAGTGTTTGTAGCATTATAGTTTCAAGTAAAACCAGTTCTTGAGTTTGCTGAAGGTAAGCCTGCCAGATAAAAACAATTATTGAAATGCTTTAGATAAACAATATATTAGACAACCTGACCATTACATCTCATAAATATTAGATCAATTATGAAAGAATCATAGCAGTATAGAGGGGAAGAAGAAAATCGATTTACTCTGATGTTTAAACAGAATCACCTTAATATAGGAACTGTAGACAAAGAATGAAAATGAACTAAAGGTAATGCAAAGGAGTATAGATAGAAAAAAGATGTAGTTTAACTTTATACAGGCATTGCTGCTTTAAGGTATATAAGGACAGAATCACTAAACCAAATGAAAACATTGAACTCGAACCTGCTTTTAAGATAAAGGCTTATAAACTGAAGACAAACTCTAAGACTTGTCATGTGGTAATTCCTTGAAAGTCAAGGTTAGTTGTGTTATATTTCTTAGGAAACACAACAACAAAATCTTTTATCACTAATCACTAGATTAAAAAAAAATAAGTTGGATATAGAACCAAAATAATTTATCATCCAACTATAGAGACATACATGCAAGAGAATACATCTTTATATCTTTTCTTTTTTTTCCTTTTCCTTTTTTAATTTTTAAATTTTTTTTTTTTTTGGTCAGTTGTGGTGCCTGAACTCTGGGCCTGGGCGCTGTCCCTCAGCTCTTCAGCTGAAGGCTAGTACTCTACCACTTAAGAGTCAGGCCCACTTCCGGCCTTTTCTGCTTATGTGGTGCTAAGGAATCGAACCCTCATGCATGCAAGGCAAGCACTCTACCATTGAGCCACCTTCCCAGCCCCAATTGTTTTTGCAAAGGTGGTATCTAGAGCGGTTAACTCTCTCTACAAAGAGATTATTGTCCTTTACTCTATGAAGAAAGGATAGGAAACCTTTTTGCCACACATTATTAGGATCATGCATGACACTTGACGCAGATGAGAAGGAAATAATGCATTATGCAAATAATTTTTTTGTGTGCTGATACTGGGGCTTCAACTTGGCTTGGGGGCTGTCCCTTAACTTTTCCCTCAGGGCTAGTGCTCAACCACTTGGACCACAACTCCACTTCTGGCTTTTTGGAAGTTAACTGGAGGTAAGAGTTTCATAGACTTTCCTGCCCCAAGTGGCTTTGAACTGTGATCAACAGCACTCTGCCTCCTGAGTAGGTAGGATTACAGGCATGAGTCATCAGAGTGCAGCTAAATACTTATTTTTTTTTTTTTTAGGCACTCTGCTAATCCCAGAGGTTAAGAACACCTTTAATTTTTTAAAGGTTACTGACCTCATTCCAGTATTTAAAAAATATCCTTAAGCATTAACTAGAAATAATTAGTTAAGCTAATAGGAGCTATAAAAATTACAGAACAGGGGCTGGGAAGGTGGCTCAGTAGTAGAGTGCTTGCCTTGCATGCATGAGGCCCTGGGTTCGATTCCTCAGCACCACATAAGCAAAAAGCCGGAAGTGGTGCTGTGGCTCAAGTGGTAGAGTGCTAGCCTTGAGCTGAAGAGCTGAGGGACAGCGCCAAGGCCCAGAGTTCAGGCCCCACGACCGGACCCCCCCCCCGCAAAAATGACAGAACACTCATAAATTCCCTTTTAATACTGACATTACTATTTTACTCTAAAACAAATTTCATTAATAAAATCAGATGCATTTTATTAATCTGGACTTTAAACTTGACCTAGATCAAACTGAATCATTAAAATCCGGTAGTCATTTAGTAAATGAAGGCTCTTGGTTATAACTCACCTACAAGGATACTAATGAAAAATGATTGTAAAGGTCTACAATTTGAGGTTCCATTTTAAGATTTCATAGAAACAATCCTTTATAAAGATTCATTACTGATCTAGAGGTAAACTAGATTTTTTTATTCCTTTACATACTAACAATTTAACAGTTACTTATCTTTTGATCTCAAATACACCTACCACTGGTGGTAAATGACATATTTGATAGTTTTCTGTGAGGATAAACAATCAAATGTGAAACGAGAAAAAGTAAATCTGAATCAAAACATCTGACTTCAAAGCAGGAACAACGACATCTAAATTATGAACATGTATGAGATGTTCTTGCCACATGGCTTCCTGGTATATTCCTAAGTGGCAATTAAACGAATTTGAAAGGCAAGAGTAATTGAATTGTACTTTAGTTAGGATTTCAAATTTACAAAGAAAAAACACCCCCCCCAAATTTACATACATCACATTTTGTATCCAGCAGTGGATCTAGGGGATGAAGACAAGCATGTGCTACTTTGATAACATGTTCAAGTTTTCGTGCCTGTTCTTCTACTTTTGCAGCCAAAAATAATGCAGTAGGTGATATTATCTGCAAGAAAGATTAAAAAAATCGGTCATTTTAAAAGTAAATACATTTTGGGAAATCCCTCTACTTTCTAAAAGAGAAGGTATACAAATAAGAAATGTACTGGTTGGTTAATAGTATGAACTGAAGAGTGGGCTATGACAAGATTCATGTAAGGACTTCAAGTGTTCTACCACTTGAATCACACCTCAGTCCTTTTGGTTTTAGTTTTTCAGCGTGAACTTTTGCCCTCACCTATCTCTGCTTCTTAGACAAGGAGTACAATCATGAACCATCATGATGGGTATGAGCTTTAAGAGCTTTTGCACATATTAAGCAAGGTATGTTTTAATAGTTATTAATTTACACATTGTGGAGGTAAGGAAAAAAATAAATCAAGCAAGATGATGTAGCTTAAAAGAAGATTTAAAAAATGGGTAAAATACCATAGTGAACTTCTTTTGGGGGGGGGGGCGGCTCAGATTTACTAGTTTCTAGTTTTAAGTCAAACAATAACTTGCATGCTTAGAAGCCAGACAATGTTATTTAAGGAGCAAAAAAAGCAAAGGTAAAAGAGAAAAAGGTAAAAGGTAAAAGCAAAAAGGTAAAAATCTGAAAGTGAATCTGCCACTTAATACCTTTATTACATCACTACAGCAATAATAAAAAAAAATCAGCTGAAAATCAGGGTAAAAGAAAAATTAACTAATGGAACAGAAGCTTTGCTAAGTGGAGTTCCAGGGAGTAGGGATTTTCATTTTTTTAAATTTAGTAAGTTAGGTTCTTGGGATACTAGAACAGAGCGTAATTACAAAGACACTGGATAAGACAGAGAAACAAATTCTGAGTAAATATTTACCTCCCAAATAAGCAACAAACCAAGCAATCACTGATTCAGAAACTAGGTATACTTTACAAACTCAACAGGTTTTAAGATTACAGGAAAAATTTCTTACAGAAAGGTAATTTCTAACTTCCAAGATTCAAGTATCTATTTTTTAAAAGATTAATATCTGAATTTCATTGTTACTTTAGATATCATCAATCACTAAACACACCCAGGCATACACTAAAATGGGAGATGGACAAAGGCATAAATCACATCACTAATTGATTTGGGTAGTTAATGCAAAGAGGACATTTCTGATACAAACTTTTGTACTGGGGCTTGAAATCAGGGTCTTGTACTCTAGCTTTGCTTATTGTGCTCAAGACTAGTGTCCTACCACTTGCGTCACACCTCCACACCCATCTTTTGCTGATTAGTTGGAAATATCTCATGGACTCTTCTGCCTGGGCTGACTTTGAACCTCGATCCTCAGATTTTGGCCTAAGTAGCTTGGATTAAAGGTATGAGCCACCAATGTTTGGCATGCTGGAAGCTTTTAAGACATGACATGATATTTAATCAGTAAACTATGGACATGAAAGGGACTTTTATTTGCAAATGTGTAAGTGGAATGAAAATGACTTTAAGCTCTTTGTATAGCATGAACTTTCAAAATAGACCTAAAGTAAGTGTGGTTTCTGCAACAGTATAGATTTTAAAGGCATAATCTCCAAAGATAGCACTATTAGGAGGACTGTGGGCTTTTAAGAAGTAGGCCATTAGTGGGACATTTTTAGGTCATTAGGGGCATACCTCTCAAAGAGACTATGGGGACCAGGCCTTTTTGTCTTTCTATTATGAGGTAAGCAGTTTACTTGGTCTTGATTAGCTAGCTGCCTTTGCAAGAATCCCAGAGCAATGGAGCCAGAACAGTGAGCTAAAATAAGCCTTTCTCTTTGTAAATTTATGGTCTTAGATATATCATTACACTTAGGTATATCATTACTCTTTTCAACACCAGAAATACTGTTACCTTAAATGGGCAGACTTATTTTATTATTTTAACGTTTATTAATTTTTAAAATAAAATTATAGCTTGGAAGAATCAAGAATGCTCAAATGGGTAACTAAATCTGGAAGTAGCTACCACATGACTAAGTTATTTATTTCCTTGCACTGTACATCTGCTATCCAATGTTTGCTGAATATGTAAGATATGGATAATATATATGGGTATTAATATTAAAGTATTACAAATATTACAGTAAAATTCTGAGAGTGTCAACAGTGAGCAAGAAAGCCCAGTAAGAAAAATTCTGAGTGTCAACAGTGAGCAAGAAAGCCCAGTAAGAACACAAGGGCCTGAGTTCAAGCTTGTTACAAGAACAAAACAATAGTCAAAGAGCCAATGCCCAAATTCAAAAAGTACTAAAAAAACCCCAAAAAAACCCCAAAACCCAAACACCCCCCCAAAAACCCTGAAAATACAATTTCTTATTTATTACTTTGTTGTCTAAGAGAATCTAACTTTCAAATGTTAATCTTTAGGAGCTGTTTTTGTTAGTGAAGACACTCAAGTCATAAGTCAAACCAAACTGCTTATAATACTCAAATTTCCAACATAATTGCCAGATGATTCCTCTTATTTGCCAAAAAGACATTTATAAATTTCCAAGAAACTTTTCTTGGTAAACTTCATTCATGGAATTTCTAATCATTGCTCCATTCTCTTCAGATTTTGTGGCAGCATTAACTTTAAGTTTCAATATCAAGAAAAATTTCAAACTATACAGCTTTTCACTTTCGAAGATAGTCTCAAAACAAAAAATGACTATTAATAATTTTAAGTTTTATAAATAATTTTACAAAGTTTCCAGGGAGGCTGGACACTGGTGGCTCAAACCTGTAATCCTAGCTACTCAGAAGGCTGAGACTTGAGGATTGCGGTGAGAGGCCAGCATGGGCAGAAAAGTTTGTGAGACTCTCATCTCCAATGAACTACTCAGAAAAAGCCAGAAGTGATGCCTATGGCTCAAGTGGTAGAGCACTAGCCTTGAGCACAAAGAGGCTCAGGGACAGTGCCCAGGCTGTCCATGGGAGGTTGGAGGGGAGAGGAGGTTTCCAGGCAGTCAAGCAGGATATATTCCTGGTTATAGAAGTCTTTTTGTTCCTATCACACAAAACTCAATTCCCATTCTGCTTCAGTGTAACACTAATACACAACTCTTCCAAAGCTTTTGGTGAAATCCACTAACTCCATTTACATTTCCTTTTTTACAGCCTGAAAATATTTCACTCTATTAGGGTTGACTATAAAGAACAAAACAAAAAGGCTTTTTAGATAGATACTTGGTGAATACCTATATGAGGCTTAATTTAAGAATGACAATGAAGGTGATCAAATAGGGACTACTGCTTTTTGTATACAAGGCTGACTGTCATATAACCTAAAAGAATTCCAAGTTTCCAGTAGTAGAAACATTACTAGTCTGTTGCTTTTAAAGGTGTTGAAGGCAACAAACATTTATTAGCACATATAAACCTGGTTCAAAGCTAGAATTCATATCAATACTATTAAATGAGTACAGATAATCAATTTGGTTTGTGTGACCCAACAATTCTAAGCTTGAAACTCAATTCACTAGGACATCCATGTACTATTTGTTTCAGTGTTCTGGTCCTTAAGTTTAAAGTAAACTTTCTTAAATTATTATAGCCAAAGGGAGAAAAAGGTAAAAAGAAAGTTGATTTTTAAATAAGTACCCAGAGTCTGTCACTGTAGCAGATGCACAACTATTTCCAGGGAATGCTACATTCTCAAATTTCTACAGAAGCATGCCATATAAATCATAGAGGAGTCAGTGGTGGACAGTCAGACTAAGTGGTCAGACTGAATGAAGTGTCCCTTAGAAATATATCTTTAATATTACTATGTTGAAATTTTAAATGATTGTGTATCGTTAGTGTTGACTTTAAATTTTAAAAAAAGAGTTAACAAGCTTTTAATATTAACTCTTCTTTCTCCCAGTTTTAAAAACTCAGTGTTTTCAAGGTTGTGTTGCAGTCCTAAGTATATTTAAACACTACAATTATGACACTTGACATTACTTCAATGATTTATATATACCCATATTCCTTTCTCCCCCTTTCCTTTTCTATTCCTTTATATTTCCATTCCTACCTCTTGATCTGACTCCCTTCCTTCTCCATCTGTTCTCCTCCTGCCCATTCCTGGCCGCTGTCTCCCCTCTCTGCCATGATGCCCTCACTGCTGACATTCTTCACTCTCCAATGCTGGCTTCAACCTTGATAGTTGGAGGCAAGGTCAGTTGAATTAACAAAAGGCCTGGGTAATTGCTAAGTCACCAAAGATGGATGTATCAGTCAGTTTCAAATGAATCCATTCTGGTATTTTTTAAAAATTAGGTAGTTATAGGAAAATCAATTTATAAGTACAATATCACCCCTTTCTGTTCCTCATTCTTTTAATAATCTTGGTACACATATATTTAGTTTCTACATACTAGTGAAGATATTCTTTCCCTGTCCCAAACATCTCCCCATTTCAGCTCCAAGGCTACAAAAACTATTTGTTGTGCCAGGTAAAGGAGTTTCATTAACGTATCACTAGATCTAACTGTCACAACTAGAATTTGGAAATTATTAGAATTTGGTAAGTATTGCAGTTTACTCAAAAGGATGTAAGTTGAGTAAAAATACAGAAACATCTTAGGATAAGGAGAAGTAGAACTTAAGAATAGTTCACGAAAGTGGAATAAAAATACTCACTCATTGGTATTAAAAAAATCACCATGCTGGATAACTGAGCAAAAATTCCAGTATTATGCTAAAAAGTGGTTTACATTTTTAATTTTGTTGCAATGAAATCACTGACATTTTTAATATTATAAAAGATGCCATTACCTCAGCCTGTCATTTTATTTTCCTATTCATGTATTTATGGGTGAAATACTGTCACATAAGACATTTCATATTGAGAATTTAAACAATCTTCAAATGAAGTTATTTGGGACAACTCACTACATTTAAAAGGTAGTTGACGTAATAAAGTCTCAAAAATATTAGTATTCAAGTATTGCTGAAAAGTAGTCCTAATTAAGAGAATACGGACTGATTTCTATATCGTACTTGAAAATGTCATACAATCTGGCATGTATAAACTTTCTAGCCAGGT